ATGTCTTACTCGTTCATCGATGCACGCAGGAAATTTAAATCATTTTTAATCGTTTTTGAAAACCGGTCTTATCGTTGATCTTCGCGTAATTTTTTGCAATGTCGGCGAATATATAAATTTTTTTCACAGTCGTCAAATAAGATTTGGCCAAAAACTCAAAGATATGATTAAACAACAACAACAATAACAACATTAGCATAATATAAATATGTTGTAGAAAGTTCTACATCAATCTTGCAAAAAACGAGCGAACTTAGAAAAAAATTAATATTTATTCTGGGATATTAAATTTCTAATCTGTGAAATCGAGGATCAGCTTTATTCTTACCTTTCTTTCTCTCTTTATTTTTCCAACATCCCGGTACCATCTGGCGTTGTAACTAAATTCTGAAAATGGAAAAAGGATTAATATATCTTTACTTAATAACTTTAATATTTTTATTTTAAATAGAAAAAAATTTTTTTTAAAATGTATGGAAGATAATAGAAATAACATTAGAATAATTCAAACGAATGAATGAAGGCAAAAAAATTAATAAACAGCTGAAGTAGAAAATAAAAATCCGATAGTTTCGAGAATAATTTTCAAAGATACAAAAAACACCTCTTTTTGGCCTTAAACTATAGTATTTATGTCACGTTATGAAATCTACTTTAAATATTACGCAACTCTGCGCATAACGAATAAATTAGTATCTTTTCGAATTTCGAAGATTTTATATCTAAATATATCTACACGCATACACGCGCATCTATGTATACTTAAAAAAAAAAGAAAAAGAAATGTTAGGTAATGGTAGGAGTTAGTAAAAATTCCAAACGCTTTTACGATGCACGCGTTGCCTCCACTTTCTAAACAAAAAAGGAGGTACGTCTGGGAACCCCGTGAGAATGCTCGAGTCTTCTCTCAATTGGTTCACGCGAACGTGCAGCCAGAATGGCATTATTCAAGAGAGGGAAAGTGATGGAAGGGGCAAGCATGCTCAGGTGTAAATGTCATTTTAAATGCTTTCGCAAGGTGGTGGCGACTTTTAATTTTTGAGGGGCCGTCGCGCCGGCGACGGTACGTCCACGTCGCTCTTGGTGTCTAAAATATCAGTATCGCCGCAAACTTTCGCCGACTGGAAGGACAAGAGAGGTCCTAATTGCGACTCCGCTTATGCAGATCCGCCGATCCGGGAACCGAGAGCGAAATCGGGAACGAGACGATCGACGGTGTTTGACCGTTCGCATGGTGTTTCATCGAATTCCGCGAAGTGCGCCGAGTTCAGGAAAGAATCGACGTTAATTGGTATCGGGCATCCTTTCCTTCGAATTAATCGTCGTTATCTGTAATTCGCGTGCGTTCACGCGTGCGATCGCGTGCCACGAGCCGGCGACAGGCCGGCGGCATCTGAAGCGCGCGAGCGTCAACGCGGAAAAATTGTGCCGCGCGTAAACGTCAGAAGGGAAAGGCGTTGCGTTATTACTTTCGATGTAAGACTCCCCGCGCGCTCTCGCGATAATTATCATCATCGTCATCGGCCGTGTCTCGTGGTAGGCAAAGATATCGCTGGCGGTTCCGCGAAGCACACGGTCTCTTCTCTTTCCGCCATAGGTGGACGTTACATCGTGTGACGTCAATGCTCGAGGTGGGTACCAATACTAAATCCGTGTTTAAGGGAAGAGACTGATGATGGCAACGGTGACGGCGACGGCGGCGACGACGACATAACGATGGCAACGTCGGGTCCATCCATTGAGAGGGAACGGAAGAGCTGACGTCAAAGAGGAGGGCATCCTCGAAGAAGAGGGAGTCGCCGCGCGCGAACGAAGACGAAGCTCTACTTGGGGCCCCGGCCCCAACTCCGGCCCCCCAGCCACGGCTTCAGGGGCTGCACAAAATGCGGATGAAGGAGAGGGGGAAATTAGTCATGTCTTCGCGTGTACTGGCACGCGCAAGCCCCCGTTTAAGTGGGGCAACACCACCCACGTTCACGTTTGCGAGCAGGATAAAAAATCCTTCGAGAATCAGGGAATACTCAGTTTTCAGCAAACCATTTAAACGAGACGATCGAGCCGATAGGAAAAGAGGTACTGCCTCATCCCTCAGTCTTACGAGAGTCAGTTGTCAAGTTCGAATGACCGATCCGCGTTCAGTGATCTGCCGAAGAGATTCATCGGCGATTCTTTCGCTAATTCTTGCACTGGTCAGCGCCGCATGCCGGACCTCGATTGGCGAATCATCACAGAAAACCGTGCAGCTGAAAAACAGTTAGTAAATTATTTTTAATATTTACATCATGTAATGTCCGGTTTCAACGGTCGGTCAGACTTGAAAATTTTTCAATTCGGAATACCGTATATATATATATATATATATATATATATATTCACATATTTCATTATCTCTTTTAGGATTGAGATACCATCGATTTCGCCGAATTTCGAAAAGAAGCTCGATAGATAAAACGACTGCACTTTGCTGAATAATTCAGTGGAAAAGCAATCATCTGTCAGGCAAAAGATCCCGATTTCCTGATCCAGTCATCTTAAGCATTTAACTAAACAAATGTCATTTCACGGTGTTTGAAGAAACAAGTGATAGAAGAAAAGCAAAGAATTCTAAAGTTAAAAAGGTGGAAAAGAAATATACATGATAAACTTTCAAAGGAAAATTTCGGGAAAACAAGGCTATTCGGAGTAAGGAGAACTGAGGAAACAAGAAGGAAAAATAAAAGCGATAACACACAATAAAAACTACTGACCTCCACGGGGGTTCCTTTGTGTGAGTTTTGGGTCAAAAATCTACCTAATTCTACCTAATGGCGGCATTCAACGCAAGATTTTGCCTATTTACTCTGGCTGTGAGTGTTATCGTTTGTACATTACTCGTTCAAGGTCGGAGTCTGAGACGTCGACACGGTCATCATCCTCACTCGGATTATTATGACGATGGAGAATGGTTGCCGCGTGATTTATCGGGGCGCCTCGAAGATAATTCGGAGTACTATCGCGATTCCTACAGACAGGCGGAGAAACGCCTCCGTAACTCTCGGATCCCTGATCGTTCCTCGGAATATGAGAATTCGAAGGAGCGAGTTGCGTCATCCATCCGTCGGTACAAACATGAGTTCGATTTGTGGAATCGCGAGTCCTCCTCGCGACGAAAGGAGGACTCCCCGCGCAAATACAACGACACGACGTTTTCGATGAGATTCTTCAACAGGAGGAAGCGTTTTAATAAATTCGAGCCGAGCCCCGTGGAGCACAATGGCCAGAGTTCCATAAACGAAGCTAAGGATTCTGTCAGATACGAGATGGAAGTGAGGGAGGCGCAGAATTTGGCCATCTGCAACTACACCGTGGAATCGATACCGGTACCGGAGAATCGGAGCGCCCGGGTACCAAGGATCCTGGAGCACATCAAGTGCAATCATATCGGCAGCAGGTGCCAGGGCACCAACACCGCCTGCTGCGTACAGACGTATAGAAATATCACGGTGTTCTACGGCGACGGTACCAGTGAGATAATGAAGATCTACGTGGGCTGCATATGCGCCCTCAAGTTCATGAGCAGATACGCGTCGCCATTCACCAACGATTGACATCGAAATCTCGAGAGGCTAGTGACGATCCGCTTTGGTGACGATTCGCTTCGATCGTGGTTCGGTAGGTAATCGGT